GAAACTGGAGAGATCCGAACTTATTTTATGGAAATTCATCAGAAGGAAACTCCTTCATTAGTCTTATCAAATGAAAGATGAAATGCTAGTGAAAACAGAACTGACATAAAATACGAATCCCGAATCTTTTCATACATTCAGTCCATGTTGTGTTTGATTTGAAGAAATACACTATTGTCAAATATGAGTACGAAGTCGTTGTGTCAGAGTCAACTTCTGTCGAACTTGTCCTGAAAAGCCACCGACAACTTTTGTTTTTGTTGATTTGTGCATTGCATTCAGGTCCACCATCAACGATGCATGATATTTTGACTGATCTCCAACTGTACAGAATGAGAGAGTGTAAGAGTGATGTACAAAATTTGATGAAACAATTCATTGAGAACAATAATAATGCTATATGCTATTAGTATCATTCATACACTCTTTGAATTGTCTTCAAAGTACAGAATGTATCTCGTGATCTGTGTCGAATTCTGCTCAGGAGAATGAATATTGATATTCAGATAAAAAATTCAGATGTTCAGGTAATAGGTATTCAGGGTTTCTCAAATTGAGTACCTCCACGTTGCACGTTATATTCAAACATACAAACTTGTTTGAATCATCTAACTCACCATATTTCTTAACAGTAGAAAATTATCATTGAACTCCGATATCTAACACTCGCTGGAATAACAAGAAAAATATCCTCGTGAAGAAATGTTTCACTCGTTCAAACTCGGAAGCAAGGTGCTTAATTATTCACATTATTCCTGCAACTCGACGAGCTTTGCAGAAACTGCTTATCCACTATTGACTCAAACAATCCGAATACTCAAATATAACGAATTAATCAATGATGGGCTATAATTTATCTGAATCTGAACAAAATATGCTTGGGAAACAATTATATGGTTGCAGATTCATTCAGAGGTTCTCAGGATCATAATATTATGATAATCCATTGAGCATATATACAGATCAATTTGATATATTTGCGGAATAGCCGTACGTTGAACTCCCCTGAAAACAGTATTTCTGAATCATATCTCAATAATTATTGTATCATTATCAAATTTATTTATATGCCCTTCTCATTGGATATCGAACATCCGATATATCGCTATACTCACATCTACTAGTAGGTTCGCATAAAGATCGAAAATCCAGGAGAATGAGAGAAGAAAATTGCTCTGCTGTACGGTAATCGCGTGATTTCCGTTATATTATAAGCCAGCAGTAATATGAAAGTCTCTTCGAATCTCCTCATTAAATCCCAGTTCTATACTCATTTTATGGACAAACTAATATCCTACAGAACCCATTCGAAAGCGTAAATAAAATATTTCTGGGAGTTCATATCATGTAGATTGTAGACAGTACAGTGCAGAAAACTTTGCTTCTAATAAACTCCAGTAATGCCCAATATTATCCGGTATGGCGCACAGATGTTACCTTCATTTAATTCGGAATATGATTCTGGTGCATTCAACGGGAATTAAGAACCGGAATAGATATCTTCGTAGCAAAAAAGAACTCTTGGAAATGAAATTACCAACTGTGTTATGAAACTTATCTTCGATGCTTTAGAGATAGTGAAAAGTTTATTGAGTATACGTAGATATCATTTTCTCGATGTTGAATCAGGCAGATACTGTCTGTAGGTTAATCGAGGAGGTGGTTCATTCATTCAACTTGATTTTTTGGGATTTTCTCTTCTCGTTTCTTCAAAATGAAAAAGAATCCAATAGTAGCACAATTTCCGAAGTGAGATATTTTGCATTTTCATGTTGAGAACGAAAGCAGATTCGGTCACGAAATGTCCAAAGATAAGTAAAAATTTGATATTTTCTCAATATATGTATATTCCTTTCCTTCAAACATTTTTTAAACAAATTGTCACCGACAAGCTACTGGATTTTTCTCCTAGGCTCCCTGATAGGAAAATTTGTTGAACGTAGTGACATTTTGGGGCAAATCATCTGATTGGGCGTGGTTTGTTATGGAACAGGGTGTGGGAAGGCGGAAAATGAAAGGTTTCCAAGTGCTAGTAAGTCTGCGATCGTCGTCGCTTTGTATCGAGGCAATCAGGTCGCTTCTCCATCTCAAAAGCTTCGCGAATTATCCTTGTATGCATAGTTTTTCTGGTGGCAATTGTTGTGGCGTTTTCGTAATCTATTGAGTGGCCTGTTTCTCCGTAATGTTCGAAGAGTGCCGGAAAACGGTCTTATTTTCGGACTGCAAGTTGATGTTCGTGAACTCTGCTAGTAACGTGTCTTTTTATTTGGCCAATATATGTTCTTGGGCAAACTGAACGAGGTATTCTATATATGCCCTGAGAATCCTCGGATTTTATGTCCTTGGGGGTTCTGAGAAATTTTGAATTCAGGTTGTTAGCCGTGAACGTAGTTTTAATATCATGTTTTCTCAGGATTCTGCTGATTTTGTCAGTGACGCCTTTGTGAAATGGCAAGAATTGGATGTTTTGGCGCCTGTAGTTGATTGCGGATGGATATGTCGATTCGTGAACTGCTGTAACCATTCTGTAGTAAAGCGGATTTGAGTTTGTTCTCCTGTGGTCGGTTATCATTATTGCTGGGTTGCATCGATTCGTGGATAAGAACATTTTAGACGAAGTGGGTTTTTGCCTGATGATTATGGAAGTTTGCAAGGAGATAACGGATGGTATGAGTAGGTTGCCTATATACGGTATGGGTTAAGGAGTCGTTGGTTTCAGAGATGACAATATCTAAGAAAGTGAGAGAATTGTTCGATTACGGTTTCCATTATGAACTTCATATAAGGATGGATGTTTTTCATGTGGTCTAGGAGTTCCTGGAGGATTTCATAGTCATGAGGCCATATGAAGATAATATCGTCGACATATCTGATTCAGTGAGTAAGCTTATTGTGATCGAAAGCATCTAAAGCGTTGGTTTAAGAGTCGTCCATGAAGATGTTGGCAAAGACTGGAGATATATTGGATTCCATTGGTGCATCTCTCACTCGTTTGTATTGATTACCTTGAATCAGAAAATATCTGCTGTCTACTCTGTCCCCAGTCCTTGCCAACACCTTCATAAAGATATGAAAGGAACAGGGTCATCATATCAACCTTTGAGCGCACTCGCACGGTCTCTCAGACCATCAAAAGTGAATATCGGTAAATTAAGTGATAAGCTACTGCCACGCGCTTAGCGCTTTTGTATGCTTCCAGTGTGAGACGGTCATAAATCGACCAAGTGCATGCACATTTTTTTTTCGGAAACCTTCCGGGAAGTGCTCACATTTCAGACGCCCTTTCTTTGTGGAATTAGCATTCTTCCGGCCTAGTCCGGGAAGTGAGTACTTTCTGAAAATCTCGGTTGCACTAATCGCAATAAACTATAGATAGCAGCTGCGATAGTGAGTTTGAGAATGTTTTGCTGATAGTATAGTGTACGCAACAAGTCTAAAATTAATTTTTATCAACTCGCAGACTTCCAGGACTCGCCTACGGCTCGGCCTAGAATTTTGTCTACTCGTCCATAAAACAGTATTCTACGGACTTGTTACGTAAATTTCTATTTCTGTAAATACAGAAGCTACGTCATATTGCAGTCCCCGGCAGCGCTGCTTGTTCTTTGTCACCTATTTCTTTGATGAAATGACATTTTGCCGATGTGACTTTCCACTATTTATGTGTCGATTTATTATACTTCTGGCAAGTTACGGAATGAATATTGAGAGACTTCAACGTTTGTTTCAAGGAGTTCAAACAGCTGATGGATTCATTGATGAGGAGGACCCAGATGAGATAGACATAGATAGATGTTATTAGTTGAAACAAAAATAATGTTTTTGTTTTGTAATGCAATATCTTCATGAATAAATGTGTTTACTAAAACTCTATCAAGTGTCATTATAATACTCATAAAGTAATTATCATTGATTATAGTTACTCTTAATGATTATGGTCTGTGAGACCGCTGTGAGTAACCAAGTACATTTCATTCATGCGTGCGCTTGTACCCCTGTAAAATTTTGATTTTTTTATAGAAGTTGCTTTCTTGGCGTGATATATTTGTGACTATTGTGAAGGAAAGCCACAATACTATTAAAGTTGCTGCAACGATAAAATCATGAAACTAAATGGGTTTAGTTTCATGATTTTATCTGTTTTCCGTTCCAACGATTTCAATTTCTCTCTTTTCGTCGATTTGTATTGAATTTCAGAAGTTCTTCCTCAGAGCAGATCTGTATTTTGTGCTTTGTTTTCCATTTTTCAACGTTCTTCTGAGCCATGAAAGGAATTTTAGTATCTTACTATCTCTTACCAGTTACAAATATTTTCATTCTCCAATGGAATAAATGGAAAGCACCGAATAATGTGAAAGATGTGATAGTATTTATCGAATATCATTCAAAACATTGAGTTTTGCTGATGAAGGCACCTTCGCAAAAGAAACGAAAATCACAAAATTATGGTGAATCGAGATCATTGAATGCATTATTCCATAACGCCTATGTCGGCTCAGATGCTTTACCAATAATTTTATATTCCTCTTTTTGGTACCCTAGATCATTCAATACCATCAAGAAAATTGCAAAAAAAGATCGATCCAACATCCATCAATTTCAACGATCTGATCAAAGTTCACTTATTATATATAACAATTCATTGAAACAATGAGTTATTGAGAGTGACATTCATTTCAAAGTGTCAATGGAGTAGATATTCAATTTTTATTCAATGGAGAAGAAGGTGCAATTTGTTGAATAACACTTGACGACAATATTTCAGGAGTTTCGATAGGAGGTTCGAGAAGTGCGACATAAACAATATGGGACGTAATGATGTTATTCAACACAGTGTCTGTTTTATTTTTTGTCTATCATCGAATCAAACGGGATATTGTTAGTTCAAAAAGTGTGGAATACCTTGTGAATTGATTCTGAGGAAGATGTTCCTGATGAATTCTTTGATTTGAGAATCAAAAAATAATATTTCTATGTGACTATGCTAAACTTTGTTCCAGATCTCAGCCTTTGAGCAGAACTCATCGCGATATACCATAGTCACATTGCCCGCTAGCAAAAGGGAGGATTTTGTTTACCATTTTAAAGTGAGTTACGGCGCAAAATTCGACATCAAAGTGTCCACAAACTCTGTTGGCTCCCAGGCCACAGAAACTGTCACATACAAAGTTCCAAGTTTCCTGCAACCCTACAAAGTTCGTGTCACGTCGAACCCAGATGGGGCGTTCATGATCTATTGGCAGGAACCTTACGTGCCTTATTACGTCGACAGAGTATATTACGAGGTGAGTATCATTTCAAATCATCGATGATAATTATCAAAGTATATATGACAGTTTCCGAATCGACATTAAGACCATTCAGGCTGCCGCTTTGTTCAATTGCGCGAGCGGCAACCTGAGAAACAGAGCTAACTGGGCCCCGGAATTCATTTTGAAGAGAAATCTAGTACATTTCATCAATATGATACACAATGTAACAATTAGTCTACACGGTGCATCAATGCTATGAAAATAGGTATTTTACATTACCACCTCTAGAACCCATTATACAGGATATTTCGTTTTAACATCATAAGATGTGTTCGGATTATTCTAATTGACACTAATATGAATAGTCGTAAACAGTGGTCATGAGTTAGATCCTGTTTGATGAACATAATTTCAAATTTTGAATTGACTCTACCCAGATAGCACAAATTCCTTTTGAGGGCCTTCTGAGGCGTTCACAATAATGTCCTCAGGACGTCGAGAGCGAGCCTGAGGACATTCTCAAGACGTCCTCCTGGTACCATTCTCTACATACTAATAACGTCTCAGAACATCCCTATAAAATCTTTTGAGACAACCTCAGGACATCATATGGTAACAACTTGAGGCGGTTTTTGATGATGTCTCAAGGAGGTTCAAGATTTATGGGAGAATATTATTCGTATACAGAATGAGTCACTATAGTGTGTTCTCCTCCGATATTAGCAAAACCGTCAGATATATGAAATGAAAATTCAAGTACAACTAACAGTAATAGGGTTTCATAAGAACAATCACCTGAAGTTGTTTTCATATCTATAGGGTGTTCGAATTCCAAGATATCGGTTGATGATTGGTTTTTTTCAATGGAACACCTTGTATATTAATGCATTTTTGAGTTTTCCCTGAAGAGTTGATTCCATCAATGCATCACACTTGGTGTCTAGTGGGAATTATTACAGAGATATAGGGTGTTGACAATTGAGATTCTTCAAATGTAGGATTTTTTGTGTCGAAACTATTCATTAATGGTCAAAACGGCTCACATGTTCCTGTCATAACTTTTGATTAGCTATCTACTGATATTTATTTGGAACAGATACAATAAGCTGATCAGTATTCTGAATGTCAACCCACCCTCTATTTGTTCCGATTGAATGTCAGTAGATAGTAAATCGAAAGTTCATAAGGATATGTGAGCCGTTTTGACCAATATTGAATAGTTTCCACAAAAAAAAATCCTAAAATTGAAAAATCTTGTTTTTGAACACCCTATATCTATGTAATCATTCCCGCTAGACCCCAAGTGTGATACATTGATGGAATCAGCTCTTCAGGAAGAACCTAAAAATGCAATAGTATACAGGGTGTCCCATTTGGAAAAAACAATCATCAGTCAATATATCTTGGAATTTGAACACCCTAATGTGAAAGTTCTCATGAAACCCTATCACTGTTGTACTTGAATTTTCTCTATTTATCTGATGGTTTGGCTAATATACAAGGATAACACACTATTGACTCACCTTTTATTATGCAAATGAGAATTTCTTCAAAATAATATGGATCTCATGATATTTGCGAAATTTCCCTCTATTTATAATAGACTTACATTCTATTATTTATAACTTATTCTGAAAAATTTCAATTTCCTTTTCAAAGAAATGTATTTCAGCTTCTTGTTGAGCACTACTAGAAGTTATTGCCTATTGATAGTTATTTCTCCATGTTGTTTTTGATTTCTGAACTCTGGAAATTCCTGATGCAGAATAATCAACTGGAAGTTGAAGCCTTCATGCAATATTTTATAGATTCTGAAGAAGCGAAACTATCTTGGAATGAAAATATCATCAGGTTTGTGTTTTGCATAACCTTCTGAAACAAACAATGTATCAATATTTCATGTCCAGTACTTATTATCAATGATATGATTTATGTAGTTATAGGTACCAACCATTATTGAATCTACTGAAAGTTCAAGTCTGCATATGTACAATCTTCCATAATTTCCAAAGAAGCCAAAATATCTTGAAATAAAATATCTCTGCTCTGATGATATCATCATTTTGTGTTATCAATAACCTCCTGAAACAAATAATGTACCTATTAATATTTCATGTTTCAGTCCCTACTATATCAATGATTTTTCAGGTACCTACCTTTATTGAATATACTGAAAGTGCAAACATGCATACGCAATCTCACATAGATTTCGAAGAAGCCAAAATATCTTGGAATGAAACATCTCTGCTCTGATGACATCATCAATCTTGTGTTCTCAATAACTTCATCTGAAACAAATAATTAACCTATTAACATTTCATGTCCAGTACCTACTATATCAATGATTTGATTCAGGTACCTACCTTTATTGAATTCATACTGAAAGTTCAAGCTTCCATACAATATTTTATAGATTCCGAAGAAGCAAAGCTATCTTGGAATAAAACATGTTTGCTATGATGATATCATCAAGTTTGTGTTCTCAATGACCTCCTGAAACAATAAATAATTTATATGAATGTATGAATATTTCATGTCCGGTACTATCAATGATTCTATTTAGTATTTACTCACCATTGTTTCTTGCTACCTGAGAGAAATGTCATCAACAGAGATTATCATCCTTTTGTTATTGTTATCTTTTAATTCTGTGCAATAAGTTCTTGTCGCAATCATTTTGTGAAATAGAAATTTGATGAAGGTATTCAATGAATACTCTTATAATTTTGATATAATCATTAATATATTATGATGTATCTTGAACAAATCATGACTATCATGAGACATAACCTCAATTCTAGTTCTTCTTTTTCTTCCTTTTGTCTTCGATGACACGTTATTTCATGGAATATCATCTGAAGACGTCCGTAGGCACGAAATTATTTACATCCTCAGGCTATCACTGAAAGAACTCATTTAGGACAATTACAGCGCTAAATTTACGCCTGATGATGTTCTTAGGTTGTAGAAAATAGAACGTCCTCTCCAGGCGTTTGGCGACACATTGAGGATGACCTTAGGCGAGTGTGTGCTATCTGGGTACCGTAACTTGATGGAAATCCATGACAAATGTAAAAACTTCACAAAAAATAAGATTTCCACAAAATTTTGTGGAAATCTTATCGTTTGTGGAATTTTTACATTCGAACATAATTTCAAGTTGGCGATAGTTATGGTCATACCGAAAATGGGAATCGATTTCGTTATTTCAGATAGAAAGAGCTATATCTTCATTTCTTTTCTAGATTTCATATGTTATGTCTTGCTGATCATCAGTAGATTTCTCTATACAAAAGTCTCTATGTTTTAGAAATATGCAGACCATTAATTATTTGCACCCTACTCTTCGAAAATCGACTACCCTATCATTTTCACATAAATAATTTTGTTTCTAAGTCAGTGATGAATAAATAGAATTATTGGAATTTATGATCAGGAATGAACGATATCAAACCCCTCAATAGGAAAGTTCAATTTGAATCTCCATGACTATTTTTTCTCAAACTCCATGCAATATTTTTCCTTTTATATGATGAATGAAGGTGAATATGATTCCGCCTAGATCTGTATCCATGATTCCTATAACTTTGTCTGCCAGTTTTCGGATAAAAAATTTGTTTTTTGATATTGAGCAGAATTCATTACGAGCCTAGAAGTTATGAGTACTGTTCATGCATATTCTGCCATAGGAATGGAAAATGTCCTAATTCAGTGGAATGAGCTTCTTCCTTTGAGATTTTCAATTATCACCACGAATAATGAAAGATCGAAGTTATTCAAATCAAGATTTGAAATATTATCTTATTTTTCGAAATCGGTCAGACTCAATTAAATAGAAGTCTGATGGAGATTATTTTAAAATGGTATGAGTGATCTGGAGAAGCGATAAAAACAATCTCAAATACCGAGGTCGATGTCCATTTCCGCTATGGCGGGAAGTACTGTCATCTTGACAATATTTTCATCGACCAGGACCTAATCGATAACATCTGTATAAAAATATTCAGATCTGTGTGTCATATTTGGATCTTCAGATGAGTTGGTTCATTCAAGAATACTGTCCTCTTATGGGGTTCAGCACCCAAACATATCCTGATGCTCTCAGATTCCATCTAGAGAAGAGCCATTCGCCTGGTGGGTGATGCAACACTCACTAACAGTTTGGGATCATTGGAACACCAAAGCTCTAGAATTCATTGCCTGAGGAAGTATATCCTGGAACTGGTAATCTCCAAAAGTACAAGAATAATTCCAATACCTATACCTCCTCTCCCTATCCTCCCTAGGTGCGCACGATATTTTTCGAACATTATAGGGATTTCCTTTCGTGTGCACCAAGCGTTGAAAAAGTGCGATTTGACCAATGGATGTCATCTTCGACATTAAAAACTATTTTTTTCCTCTCCTCAATCAAGAACACGAAGTAATCTACGAGAATTAGAAGATCATGGTGGTCCATTATCTTACAATGTTTCCAGATTTGAATAATTTGGGTATTCGATAATTGGATTTTGAGTGGAAATGATTTGTAAGAATATCTCCAATTCCTGTTATTTGAGTGAAAATAGGTGAAATCAGATGATATCGCGGATGACCAACTGTGACAGATTTTCAGTTTTCATTCCTCTCCAATGAAAATGAGCCGTCGGATAAAATATGAAGATGTCATCATGTTATCGCCCTCTATATTGGCATAGTTTTAAAGTAGGTTCACGCCATGCACAGTAGGACGTTGAACACCACTACGTCTACCATGTTACAGAGTGGTACTTCAAGTAAACCACTCTGCTGACAGATGAACCTATTTGACCACTTACCAGTGAAATGATTTATTATTTCTATCTATTTGAATCGATCTCATAAATGAGGGATCAAGGATGAACAAAGTTGCCCCATTTGTCAGCAGAAGCGAGGCCGTACTGTTTCAACCCACTAGGCCTCATCAGCCCCTCTCTGATGACAGATCTCAAGCGTTGAGTTGTCTTATTTGTCGGTAGATCAAGAGTGGTTGATGTGGCCGGGTGGGCTCAGACGATACTGTTTCACACCTGCTGACAAATGGCACAACTCTGTTAATCCAAGATCTCTGAATTATGGAATCTAATTGAGAAAAATCAGAGTTGAGATTTATTCATGATGATTTCTGAGAACAATGATTTTTTGAGGCTCAAGAGGACATGATGATTCAGTATGAACTCGACGTAACTCCTGATACCCTCAGTACCACATGGGAGTCGATACTGAAATTCATGATATTAAATCGAAGAAATGGACTTGGCCAGTTGGTAACAATGCGGTGATACTGAGGATCTATTATAAAATGTGAAGGGTGATGTATTTCATGACAGCGAATTCAACGTGTAAAATTAAAAATGTTCCAGCTTTAGTGTGCGAACGATCAGCTCATATATTCAGGAAAAATGGGTCGTGGTTTATTCACTCACCATTCGACGTAACTTTGTCAAAAATATAACAATTGGCATGAGAAAGAAAGTGCCACCAGATAAAATTCTTGTTGGACGCCACCTACAAAAAATTTAATTCAACAAACCTCTTTCTCAAGCCAATCCCTAGAGAAGGATTTTGCCTGTGCTGGAGGATATAAAACAAATGAAAAAAAAAATAGATTCATTTATTAGCTTGCGAGGATATTCGTAAGAGTATTCATTCTGCATCACAAACATTCGTGATATATATCACGAATAATATTGAATGCAAATAATATTCCACAAGGTATGAATTCCACATCACCATCAGATATAGAGGGACAGCTAAATAAACGTTCTCCTACCATTGAAACATAACATTATAATCATCAGCTGTGAATGAATCTCATCGATGAAATCGATGGGCTATCCCCTGGGCATAATGCAATACTCTTCCACATATATAGGATTATAGCTTAATGATTTTTGAATAGTACTAGATTTTAGATCATTGAAGATTTGATAATAAATGTTTCAACGAACTTCATAATATGCAGGGGATAAATCATGTCAGCAAGAATGTGGATGAGATGAGAAATGTTGATAGACCAGAGCTCATAGATGTTGTCAGTTCCCAAATTGAATCATATGTATAAAGTCAATTTCATCACCATTTTGAGCTCCATATTCCAGATTCCATGGGCATACGTGTCTGGTGAAATATCGAGTGACTCATATGTATATTCAGTTCAGCCAGTATATTGAACTTATGATATCAAGTTGGAATTCATCTATCTTCTTGAAATAGGTACTAGTGATTAACAGGATTAGTGAATCGGCTAATACCCAGGACAATCTTTCTGTGAAGACTTTCTCATTGAATTCGATCAAATCAATCAAGAATCCTTACTCTTCCGAGTTTAAAAGAGCATCTAGCGAAAAAGTTACATAACCTTCAAAATATTCAAGTATTCACCTCTAATTAGATTTTTATTATTAGAAATTGTGGATAATCAAAGATGTGATCCAGCAGACATTAACATACGGGTTTATTTCATGGCCGATAGATACAGGGAGAAAAGATTCTCATTTAATTTTTCCAGGTTGACAATCACAATTCAGATGTCCATGTCCTTGAAGTCAACAAAATCAGTATCCAAATAGCCAGCATCGATTCGAGTGTTGCAATAACCGATCAATACAGATCAATAAGATGACGATGACGGAATAATCAGATATATTATGTCACTGTCGCGAACCTGCTCGTTGAGGGCTGAACTCTGAACTACTGGTTATTGCTACATGAGACAATCGAACAGGAAAAAATCAAATCAAAATCAAAATTTTCAGCCTTAACAATAAGTTCGACATTTCACTTGAATATTTTTAAAATATACTGAGATAGTAAAGTCAATACAACATAATGCAATGCAATCAAAACTATATATATACAGGGTGTTTCATAATTGAATGTCAATATTCGAGGAGGCGATTCTTGGGCTCATTCTAAGAAGAAAGTTTCATATGAACGTATGACCTAAACGTCCCAACTTTGGAGATACAGGGTGGTAAAATTCTCGAAAATAAATATAGCCTACTACAATGAGAAGTTATAATTCGAAAATACCAAATACGAATACAAAGTTCATGAACTATGAATTGTATTTCTGAAATTTGATCTTAAAAATAAAAACTATTTCTCTGCATTGTGATATTATCATATTAACAATATTACTATAATCATGTAGTGAAAAGCTTTTTATTTTTAAGCGAAAACCGTGCATCAGATTGAAAAAATTGTAGTGATCAAATTTGCTTAGAAATGATCGGGAATTTCAGGAATGATTTCAATTTGGAGATTAATCAGTGGCGTACCATCAATGTCTGCCAAAATAGGTATGTGAAATTCCATACGAACGCCACTGGTGGCAACAACAAAAAATGTGGTACGCTAACTGATGCCTCTTGATACATAGTACATGTATGCCAAATTTCATCAGAATATCTGAAGTGGTATTACAGATATTAATAAAAAACTATTAATTTTTGAGAACTTCACCACCCTGTATCTCAAAAGTTAATATGTTTAGGTCATACGTTCATATGAAACTTTCTTCTTAGAATGGGCCCAAGAATTGCGTCCCCAAATATTGACATTCAATTATGAAACACCCTGTATATATATAGGATGATCTCCGATACGAATGCCAGTGAATCGCAGCTCCATGGAATCTGTAACAGAAAAGCTACCAAAAGGGAATGCATACTCTCAAAATACATGTAGTGAAAACCAGACTGGAATGAATAATCGGATGAATAGTATATAATTTATGATAGAAGTGGATGTAACCATCAAATTGATGAATACTCTGTTGATCTCACTCAAGTTCCCATCAATCAAGTGTTTTCTTGTTCCAGGTGTATGTTTATCAAGGCACAAACATATCGAGCAACTACGAGAAATATTACGTGACAAGACCTGTCTTGGTATATAAAGGCAACGCATCCCGATATACGTTCAGCGTGGGCCTGGTCTCCTACGATGGACAATACAGATCTCTTCTGAGCGATCCCATTGCCGCCGATATCTATGGAGATAACCGACAAATAGGTGTTCATTGAAAGTTTGCAACGTATCATGCAGTGTCTTCCATGCTGTATCTGCATACTCCAGTCTGACTTCAGCTGAAAGGGACCGGACCCAGAATTAATAGCTTTGGCAAACTCAAGATATCATTTTTCATCAACTTCAACGTACGACGTATGTTGAGCAACAGTTTGGCGTCAACGAGCAAGCATATCATGGAATGATAACTGAATTTGCACCATTCGTATCCGAACAAGATAACAGAAATAATTTTATACCAATAATCGATCAGTTTCTTGCTATACCAGCACAAAATATACATAATAAGCAATTGAAAATCATACCTATTATGTTAGACCAACCAGGTTTTTTGAGGAGTTCAGTAAAGTCATTGTAAATAACTTGAGCATTTTGACTATAAGTGATCATTCATCTGCAATAATTGCGAATAATTGTGCTGCTTCGAGAACGACTGTATCTGACAAAATTATATTGAATTGAATCTCAAGTACCTGGCTGAACACCCACCTTACCTCGAATCATGAAAACATAAGCAATTTTGTGAATATTTGATAGTTTATGATATATTAGGAAGTACGTATACATTATTTCTGCTTATGAATTCATTCATTTTCATTTCTCCTTCGAGCAAAAATATGAATTATCTGGAACGTTAATGGCTTATACGCCCTTGGTAGTTTTTCTCTAGTCGAACTCTTCTGCACTCGCACATCTTTGCGCATTAAATGTTAAATTATCTGCAGCTATGGCCGATGGAAAGTGGTCATATTTGATGAAGATTACACTGTAGAAACTTCCTCTGAGTGAATGCATATGTGGTTGTGAGTGAATTTACTGATTGACATTTTTGAGTGAATTCTCAACTCAAACTAGATATTTCATCAAGTTCTCATATCAATGAGAATGTTTATAAAAAATTTGATTGAATCGGTTAATGAATTACCATTTCACACAGTCGAGTAGGGTGCAATTTCAACTCAATCGGGCGTGGACCGAAATTGACTCATTATTGCGTGGACCTTGAGTGAAATTTCACTCATTTTTTTTTTTCAGTGTAATGGGCTGGCGACTCATAATATTCTTATCACAGCTCATCTATGGGCAGTTGCTTGTATCCGCAGTACAAGGCAGCTGAAAATGTTTCACCAGTTGTAGCAATAGACTTGACATCAATGTTTTGGTAATATTCATTTCGAAGAACAGCAACGAAAAGCTGAAGTCGGTGCTATAATACAAAGTATCAAGGTTCTGATATTAATTGATTATATGAATTATCACAGCTTCTCATAATGCAATAGCCTTCTATTCGATGCAATGTGTAGATAAAATAATGCACGTATTATGTTGTGATCATGATAGTAATGATATGACTGTGGTAGAGTGTGATATAATTCAGTTATTCACCATTCTACTCCACTTGATGTGACGAAATCTTGAGGTTGGTAGGTTTCGCCATCGACAATAATATTATGCGAGAATCAACAATCGAATTGATGAAGAGAGAATACATCCAAAAATCATCCTCAGGTCATTTGATAAATTCACATGATCATGTTACCAAAGAAAGGAACATGTTTCAGGCTGATAATAAGCTCATCATTAGCTGAAATGATGATCCCTTCCCCTTTCCCACTCTTCCTTGATCGAAGAAGAGATGTAATGAATATTGACTCAATGCTAGATAACTTCCACAGATGCGGCATGCGCGGTCTGGTTTTCGAGTGGATTGAAACTTATCTTACCAATAGAGAACAGAAAAACAACTCACAAACAGATGAAATTTAGGATCATTTGAGTTCTATTCCAGTTACCAGTGGTGTCCCTCAGAGAAGAATATTCCTTCTATTTATAATTTTATCTGATAGCCTCATGCATGATTTTCCTTATCATTATGTAGCAGCGATTCACCAAATGATACATTTCTGCAAAATTGAGGGACTTCCGTTTACCGAAAATAAAACTGAAATGAGACTATTCAGCCTTACTGATTGGAATAAAAGCCTGTTGGTTAACCTCAACAACAGGACTATTGAACAGAAGAGTGTCACTGAAAATCTTAGAATTTTTATAGATGAGCATCTGACTTGGTCGAGTAATTTTGATGCAGTATTGGAATGAATTTAAATCTACACTTACATTCTTTGGCAACTAAGGGATTAAGTGGACGCTAATCTCTTATTACTTCATTATTTTGAATATGTTCAATCTTGTCTTTCTTATGCCACCATACGCTGGGGCAACTGTGCCAGGGCTGATGAGGTCTTCAGAGCCCAAAAGAGAATAATTAGAATTATACTATTCAAATCGTATACCTTTTCTTTTAAAGAATTATTTCCTGAATTGAACCCACTAACATTTCTCACCCTGTTCATTCTTGCATCAATAATGCAGGTCAAAAATGATTCATCTGAATATGCTGTTTCTAAAAATAATCAATATGTAGCTGTATACTATCTCGAAATAAGGTGAGCTTACGTGCAGGAATGTGACGATGCTCTTGAGGAACTAGCTGAACTGAAGTCGAACTAGCATGGATTTCGGGTCACAGAACGGTGCTCAGAAACGAAATGCTTGTGTATTTACTACAACAGGAGAATTTAGTGGAATTAGAAAGGATGGACCCCTCGACATTCACCAGAAGGTCAGAGAGCTTCAGGAATGACAGATATGTGGAAAGCAGGGGTTGGTTAGGGGAGCCCATGGAGACCTACTTGCCTGGCTGTAGCATTCCGACCATACTACTACTACTACTACCACTGCTACTCATACTCCTTCACTACATATAGAAGCTTCTGAGAAAATATTGACGTATGATCCCATGGCATGTGAACTTTCTCATTCATCGAATCAGATTGTGACTTTGGTATTCTCCTTATTCGCGAAACACTAAAGAAGCATGGTTTGATTAGTGTATAAATATGGACTGAATGAGGTATCTCCTCTTGAGAGGTTGAGGACCTATAATCAGGAATGATAGAAAAATTTTATTATGGAAACCATGCGTACATAAGGGATCTTCCGAAGATATTTAGAACATTTATTAAAGTTTGAGAAATAAATTTTGAGAATCATCCCTGAGAAATTTAAGGGAAAAGACAATATTTTTTTTCTAAAATTATAATAGTTTGTGATTTTTTCCAATGAAACGTTTTCTTAACTCTGCTGCCATATCAACATCTGAAGAAACTTATTCGGATACTTTTTGTCAAATGTTGAGAGTGATGGCCCAGACGGAATCGAATTTTGACATAAAAAGAGAGAATGATTTTCCCATGTCCGGCTCTGGAATTTCCTCTCCATAGTAGGCCATTGAGTGGTGCGAAAGTAAAAGTGGATTGCTGGTGAATTTCAGACAATGACATAAAGATTGTCTCGAAATATCGATCATGAAAGTTCCGCTCCGAATTCAAATTATGCCCTGTATCTCTGTTACGAATAAGTATAATATATTTTTTCACATATATAAATATATAAACTCACCTCGACTCCTCCTCTCCACCATTAGGCTATAGCTGGTTAGTCATGACTCACCCTGTATGATATCAGAGTCTCATAGAAAGCGCTAGTGAGACGGTTCGTAGCACGTAGTTTCAGGCTTGACATAATCGAAGTTGAATTCTTCAAAACAAATGATATAGAATTTTGAACATCGATAAATTCCTCAACTGGATGGACCTTTTGGTGGAACTTGATACTGTGTACCTTTTTCGAAATATTTTGATTTCACAATGGAATGACAAGAATGAAATCAGAATGAATTCGTCTATAAACAAAGTCTTCATAATTTGATTGTTTCTCGATGGAAATGTTTATAATTATGCTACAGATGATGATTCAATGATTGATCCTCAACCGATGATTAATTCATTCTCCAGACAAAATGTTAGTACTTATTGCAAATTCGTGAAAACGGAGGTCATTTTGAACACTCAATCGTACTGATTGAATATTTTATGTTTCACATAAAATTCATAAAAAGAGATTCATGTGATATCTATTTTGAAATATAATAACTACAAAATTTTGATTTGATGTGGACAGTAGTTTTGAGATAACCTTGAACAATGTGTGAACAAATCTATATTCTCAACAGCTAAAATTGGTAACTGAGCATAGCCAACTCATGATGCACTGTTCCACCTATCTGAGTACCGGCATCACCTTTTCTGAAATACTTGTATATATGAGTGAAATGCTTACAGGTTGTTCGGTGATCCAAATGATGAATTGTTTTACATACTAATAGCTCTAATGGTTGATTGGCAAGAATCCACACAACCAACGATCTTCAATATGGAATAAATTCATCGAACACCAAGTTTCAAATTATATCTCAATAATTTTAAATATCGTTTCAGAACATAAACCAGATTATAAATAAACGTAACATTCGACTCTATCTTACAATCAGTTTTATTGATACCTATCTATTTGAATATGTACATTGGGTGTATTTATTTCATGATTATTCTAAGATATTTACAAACGTTTATGTTGATTTTTTCATTCGTTGACACAAGAAAAATATTGGATATAATGTTATTCATAAAGTACAGTGGGGGTGAGTACATTGATTTTAATCAGATGATATCCTTGCGAAGCTGTGACTCTTGAATGATGAAGTGGCCCAGATTGACAGGAACTGAAAAGTGGAAATAAAATAGTATCAGATGAAATTTTGATCAAAATATTGGGACGATAGTGAATATAAAAATGTTATGTTTCTCACGGAATGATTCAAATCTGTATACGATATCAGGAAGAGAATGTAGAAATCCACAAAATCGTATCATTTAATTTCTGGAACATAACATTGATTCCACAGATATTGGATGAGGCCTGAGAAAAATATCGATATATCGATAAATATACCTCAAAACGATGAATTGAAACAATAATCATTTCTCATCGCTCAATCAGTAGCGACTCGATAGGGTTACTTCTGATGAGCAATTAGCGAAACATAACCATCAAACGATAGATGGAAAGTTCGAGGGGACATATCACGGACTCACAGAATGCAATCTTCAGCCTTAGTTGAAAACTTATGAGGGTGAAACTGATTCCAATGGTTGATGACGATGCTAATCGTCATAATCAATTTCTTTTCCCAAATTTCAAGAGAATTGAAAAATGTTCATGAACAAAATTTCCTGAGAGCGCGTTCATTGAAAGCAAAAGTCAAGACCCCAGTGGTGATCTTGAAGACCAGTTGCCCAACAATATTCATGAAAAACCATTACACAAGTTGATATCATCGATATTATACAAAACGATGGCCTCGTGATCCCTAAAAAAGCTCTCCTGAGAATAAAACAAGTACCAATTGATTCAAAATTAATTTGATGAAG